AATTTGTGGGGATAGGGTGCTGGCCCAGGGATGTCTGACGTTTAAATCTTGCACATTGTTCTATTGTTTACATTGGCTGTCTGACCTCATCAGCACTGCAGAATCATAACTCCAAAGTGTTGTGGAAATAAGGTCTACACATATTTCCTAGTTAAAGGAAAATGTCTATTTACTCATTTTACAATATATATATATATATCTCACATATAAAGCTAAGTACACATGTTTCAATCAAGATGGCTGCTAGAAGCTTCTAACCCCTCCTTCCCCTCCCCTCCCTTTTTAAACATCGACTAACTACCTCGTGTAACAAGATGGCGCCGGAAAACCGTGGGAGACCCTCATGGTCCCGGTGACATCACCTGCAGTAGGCAGAGCATTAGAGCAACCACTTAACACCTAACCAATTATTGATGTATCATTCCATGTTATCTCTGACAATGCATATGATGTAATTTTGCTTTAAAAGGGACTTGCCGTCCCCTCTGAATAAACTTTCCTCAAGTTATTCAACAACCTAGAACCTGTGTCTGGTGTGAATTACTTCAGGAAGCGTGCACGCATTGTTTCATTGATTTGGCCAGGGGCAGATACACAAAGAAATAATCAATACTTTAATTGATTTTTCCACTTCAATTGGCGCCCAACGTGGGGCCCACCGGAGAGCCGGTTCGGAGGGCCGGAACCAACGGACCGGAGCGGACCTCCGGAAAGTGGGACAAGCGGAGTCTGATCACCTCCATAATACAGCCGTTGCCTGTGTTATTCTCCTGTTTTGTGCCGGTCTGTCTCCGAGTCCACTTCCGGCTTCCAGAAGGCTACTAGAGACAGGTAACTAACTCATCCGGTGCGCCCTTTTTAAGTGAACCTGTCGATTGTCTATCTGCCTCCTGTATTCATTTATGTGTGTGTGTTTATTATACCCTTAAGACATGTTTGCTTGACTGCCTAGCGGGCAGGGAACGCATTTTATATGTTTGCTTGACTGCCTAGCGGGCAGGGAACGCATTTTATATCTTTGCTTGACTGCCTAGCGGGCAGGGAACGCAGTTTATGTTTGCTTGACTGCCTAGCGGGCAGGGAACGCATTTTATATGTTTGCTTGACTGCCTAGCGGGCAGGGAACGCAGTTTATGTTTGCTTGACTGCCTAGCGGGCAGGGAACGCATTTTATATGTTTGCTTGACTGCCTAGCGGGCAGGGAATGCAGTTTATGTTTGCTTGACTGCCTAGCGGGCAGGGAACGCATTTTATATGTTTGCTTGACTGCCTAGCGGGCAGGGAACGCATTTTATATGTTTGCTTGACTGCCTAGCGGGCAGGGAACGCAGTATATGTTTGCTTGACTGCCTAGCGGGCAGGGAACGCAGTTTATGTTTGCTTGACTGCCTAGCGGGCAGGGAACGCAATTTATATGTTTGCTTGACTGCCTAGCGGGCAGGGAACGCATTTTACATGTTTGCTTGACTGCCTAGCGGGCAGGGAACGCAATTTATGTCTGCTTGACTGCCTAGCGGGCAGGGAACGCGGTTTATGTTTGCTTGACTGCCTAGCGGGCAGGGAACGCATTACAGCCGGTGGGGCTGGGTTTTTATGTTAGCTTGACTGCCTAGCGGGCAGGGAACGCATTACAGCCGGTGGGGCTGGGTTTTTATGTTAACTTGACTGCCTAGCGGGCAGGGAATGCATTACAGCCGGTGGGGCTGAGATTTTTGTCTGATTATTGTAGTATTTCCGTTGGTACCAGTGTTTTGCCGGGACCAGCCTGGTGGGTGAAGGCTGGAGATCGTTATATTCTGAATAGCTGACACCGGTGGTGTTAACATGTACATGGCCATTTTGCTCTCTATCATTCTGTGGTTTCTGTTTAATTGTTGTTATAGCGTGGGTACCCTTGGTGTGTGTGTGTGTATTGTGTGGTTAGTTCTGGATTCCGGAGTTTATGCTCATTTGTATGTTTGTGATTTTTGCAAATGTCTTCTCATTAGCGCAGCCACGTTCATTTTCTCCTTTGTTCTTTATCTCTCCTGTGCCTGTTGCCCAGAGCTGTGTTAGTCACCCACGCTCATTCGCTCCCGTCCGTGACCACCACCCCGGGTGGGCGGATCTCCGTGACTAGTCTACGTTTGGGGAAGACGCACGGGGCTCAAGTTCTCGTGGCAGTCGAGCACTGTAGACATTCTTTTTTCCCCTACACTTACTATACTTCTTTGTCTTCCACGTGTGGCACGCTTTGGTTACTCAAATATGGGACAGGAACACGCTAGACCTGCTAAGGGCTTGCTAGCTTGTGACATTGTGAAAGAAAGGGCAGGTGAAGATGCAATGCTAAAACTTAAAAAGATTGCTAAGGTGTGTGGTTTCCAGATGTTGCCCAGCGGGAGATTACAACCTGAGTTTTGGAGGAAGTTACTTATAGACAAGGAAGGGTTGTTGTTGGATAATGGACTCACGAAAGTTGCAGAGGCTTGGTACCGAGTAGCTAGAGGGTTGAAAAGAGAAGGATGGGTCGAGGAAGAACTGGAAGTTGAGGGGCAAATTGTGTATGTTTATCACAGGAGTGTTCACAATGATGATGTTGTTCCTATTGTTTCACGACCACCGCCCTATGATGGCGCCCGGAGCGCAACACTTAATTCCCGCCCTGTTTCCCCCGTCACGACGCAGACCCCACCTACTGGGGGTGTGTCTTCAGCTCCCACTCCCCTGTGCCCCGTGCTCGGTGCAGATGGTTCCTACTATTACCCAGTGCCACTTCATTCATTCCCTCCTGCTCCCATGTCTCAGCCCTCCTATGATCCAACCCCCTTCGTTAACCATCCTCCTGACATGCCTGTCGAAACCCCTCCGCTTTCATGTCCTTCGCTGCCTCCCCAAGTGACCGTCCCCACTCTGGACCTTACCATGGCTTCCCTCACCTCACCCATTGAAGTCCCACCACCCCCTTCCGCTTCTCTCTCAACCCCGAGTACCCCTTCCTTGATAGCCTCCGTTCCTTCACCCTCTCCGTCCATCACACATCCAACTCCCTTACCCCGTGCCCCTCCCACCTGCCCTATTCCTCCGAATCTCTGTCTCCCTGCTGACCCAGGATCCCTCCCTCCCGCGGCCGATTTGCCGTCCCTAATCTCTGCCCTCACCGCCCTAACCCAGCCCCCTGTTACCACCTCTCCTCCAGTGTTACCTCCTCCTCCCGAAGTCCCGGCCCCCTCTACCTCGTTATCCCTCCCTCCCGCGGCCGATTTGCCGTCCCTAATCTCTGCCCTCACCGCCCTAACCCAGCCCCCTGTTACCACCTCTCCTCCAGTGTTACCTCCTCCTCCCGAAGTCCCGGCCCCCTCTACCTCGTTATCCCTCCCTCCCGCGGCCGATTTGCCGTCCCTAATCTCTGCCCTCACCGCCCTAACCCAGCCCCCTGTTACCACCTCTCCTCCAGTGTTACCTCCTCCTCCCGAAGTCCCGGCCCCCTCTACCTCGTTATCCCTCCCTCCCGCGGCCGATTTGCCGTCCCTAATCTCTGCCCTCACCGCCCTAACCCAGCCCCCTGTTACCACCTCTCCTCCAGTGTTACCTCCTCCTCCCGAAGTCCCGGCCTCCTCTACCTCGTTATCCCTCCCTCCCGCGGCCGATTTGCCGACCACACCCTCCGCCTACGTTGCTTTGCCACAGCCCCTTGTTCCTATCCCTCCAACCCCTTCCTCGGCGACCCTTGACGCACCTCCGTCCAATGACCTATCAACTTCAATCTCCGCCCTTTTCACTGCGGTCACTTCCCTGGTTAATTCCGCAATCCCCGCGTCGCCTCCCATCGATGTACCTCCTCCTCCTCCTCCCGAGCCTTTGACTCCTCCCTTGTCTCACGTTAATTTCCTCGAGTCTTCCGATCCAATCTCTGCCCTTGCCCATGTCCTGAATACCCACCTCTCACGGCCAGCCCCGCCGTCCCCCATGGTGGCTCCTTCCACGGCTTTAGTTCCCCGTGCCCCTTCCGCCAGCACCAGCTACCCAATCATGGTGGTTGGGTCCGAGGTGTCTGCGACCTCGGACCAGCCCTATGCGATGGGTGCCTCCCCCCAAGCCTCGGGTTTCCACCCAATTACCTCTCCTATCACCCCCTTCCCAGTTGCCCCCGCTACAGCTACCCCTGAGGCTATTCTTCACCGTGGTACAATAGTGCCCGAGGAGGTCGTTATGGTGGACCAGAGCCAACCCCAACTGGGGGGGGAAAGGCTTCCCCAACGGCACTCACTTCCCCAGGGGTATACTCAGATCAACCATGGGGCGGATGGTGCACCACCTATGTACGTTACTTTTAACCCTTCCCAAGCCGCTACCCTTGTAACTTCACTCCCTGATCCTGAGAAGCACCCCATGCCCTTTTTCCGCAGGGTGGCTCAAATCCGTAAGACATATTCCGCTGCATGGCGGGACCTTATTAGTTTATGTGAAATTAAGGCCGGAGATGCATACTGGCCAATCATGGAACGGAGCTTTAGTGATGCTCCACTTACTTCTGATACTGATTTCCATTCTGGTGAGATTTTCTGTGAACAACTTCGTGCCTGGGCGCAGGATAAACTAGCTGACCAGGCTACTTGCATTAATGATATAATCCAAGACAAACTTGAGACCGTTGAAAAGTACCATTCTAGGTTGACTCAGACATTCTCGGACTTAGGGTTCAGTACTTACAACAAGGCACACACCCAGATGCTCTCTGCAGCTTTCGTGGCAGGACTGAGAGAACACATTCGCAAGGGGTTAATTTTAGCTCGCCCTGAGTATAGAATTATTCCACTAGACACTCTTTTGTTAGTAGCCAAGGGCCTAGAATCTGTTTTACAACCCACACAGCGCAGGGCTAGCCCACTGATGTACACCGCCCCCACACCTATCGCTAGTTCTAATCAGGTCCCCCAGGTATTCCCCCAACAGTACACTCAATCACCCCACGCACTGCCTGCGCCAATCCCTTTCCCCCGGGACCGGACCATTATGACAATCCGGACCTGTTTTAATTGCAATCAGCCAGGCCACTTCAGAAGAGATTGCCCACAGCCTAGGGTGTTCCGCCAGCCTAGTCCCCGGTACCAAGGTCCCCATGTCACCGGCCATAACTACCCTTCCCCTGGTTACCTCCCCGCCCTTCCCCATCCACATTTGCCTCAGCTTCCTCCTCCTCCTCCTCCCCCCTCCTCCTCCTGAATACACTCAAGCACGGCCCCCTGTATCAGAAGCTCGCACGTATACTCCACACTCTGCAGAAGGGTTTGATAATGATGATTTCCAAGACGGCCAACCCCGTCCTACCCTCCGCCCATCCCGCCCTCCCATGCATTCTGCTAACCCCCCTTCTACTTCCCGCCGGTACCAGGGACCAGACCAGGCCCATTTAGATTTATTACAATAGGTAACCGGCAAGCCTGTGTCAGCAACCCCTGCCATGGCAGTGTCTGCGGGGGATGGGGGGGCCCTCTAGCTACTGTTGTTCTCCCTGTGGAGGGCCACCCCACCACTTTCCTGGTTGACACAGGTGCAGCCCGTAGTGTCCTTAGGGAACAAGACCTGCCTGACCCCTCTTTCTTATCTGACACTGATGTTTCCTGTGTTGGGGTGGATGGTACCCCACGCAGCAACCCCCTTACTAAGCTCCTACATGTAGGTTCACACATCCTCTCACGCTTTGTGGTTTCCTCTACTTGCCCCATTAACCTCCTAGGTGCCGATGTTCTCTCTCGCCTCCAGGCCTCCATTACCTTCACTGCAGATGGGCAGATTGAGTTGACAACTCCCTTATCACAAAAAGATACCTCTGTCCTCTGTTCACTCCCTATTTTGTTAAACCTAACTGACAACTCAGGGGATGCACGGGTCCCACAAACCCCCAGTGCTCTGGACCGTATCCCACCTGATCTTTGGTCCACCGGCCCGGATGATATTGGACGTTTGCATGTGCCCCCGGTCTTGGTTCAGCTCCTGCCCGGGGCACAGCCTCCTCGCAGACCACAATACCCTCTAAAGCCTGCACAAGCTGAAGCCATTACCAGACAAGTTGAAAGTCTCCTTACCAAAGGTGCCCTCATCAAGTGTTCGTCTCCATGCAATACTCCACTTTTTCCTGTTAAAAAGAGAACTGTTAAAGGTCAACCTGACCAATATCGTATGGTACAAGATCTCCGTGCTGTGAATGATGTGACCATCAAAGACACTGCCATTGTTCCTAACCCCCACACCCTCTTATCCCAAGTCCCATCAACTTCAACAATATTCACTGTGGTGGATCTAGCTAATGCCTTCTTCAGTGTCCCCCTTGACCCTTCATGTCGTTTCCTCTTTGCCTTCACCCATGAAGGACAGCAATACACCTGGACTGTCATGCCTCAGGGGGCTCAGAATTCCCCTACACAATTTGCACACGCCATGTCACTGGTGTTGGAACCCTGGCAACAATCTCATTTGGATGTCGTCCTGCTTCAATATGTTGATGATCTCCTTCTCTGTGCTCCTGATTTACTCACTGCGGAGCGTGATTCAGAAGACCTCCTATGTTTTCTTGCTGCTGCTGGTTGCAAAGCCTCCAAATCCAAGTTACAATGGTGCCGGCCCTCTGTGGTCTTCTTGGGACACTGCCTTTCCCATGGCACCAAACATCTCACCTCCCAACGTGTACAAGCCATTCTGCTTCTTCCACTACCTGCTACCCACCAAGCTCTCCATGCTTTCCTGGGTCTAATCACGTACTGCAGGTCCTGGATACCCGAAGCATCAAAACTCATGCAGCCACTCTATGATGCCCTCAGGAGCGAACCTTTCCATCTCACAGAAGAAACTATCATCTGTTTCCGCACTCTGAAAAGAGCTATTGCTTCTGCACCTGCCTTGGGCCTACCGAACTACCAACTTCCCTTCAACCTTTTTGTCTCTGAAAAATCAGGACATGCTTCCGGAGTCCTCACCCAAAAACATGGCTCAAGACAACGCCCTATTGGCTATTTTTCCTGCATGCTTGACCCTGTTGCAAGGGGTAGCCCCTCTTGCCTCCGAGCGGTGTTCGCCGCCAGTGCTCTCCTGGACAAGACCAATGACTTTGTTCTTGGCCATCACCTCACAGTGTTGGCCCCTCACGATATTACTGCAATCTTACAGCAAATCCGCCCAAAACACCTTTCTTCACAACGCCACCTTCGCCTACAGACATCCTTACTCCTACCTGACAATGTGAAACTCCAGAGATGCCTTTCCCTGAACCCAGCCACTCTTCTGCCACTTCCCAAGGGGGGAATAGTGCATCACTGGTACAGCCTGGACATCAACCCAGAGGTCCGAGCAGATTTACAATTGCCTGTGTTTACACCTTCCCCTGATGATGAACAATCAGAGGCCCTACTCCACTGTGTCTTGTGGTTTAGGGACACACCAAACCCTGACGTGGACTATGAGGAAGAACTATTTCAGCTCAAAGACATCCAAATTACCTTGACTGACTTGTTTTGGGACTCCACAGGTACCATGCTCATTCTGGTACATCTTCCAGACAATGCAGTACACCTCTACCACCATTGGGAAACAGCTATCCCACACATACCTCTCACCAGATCCCACGACATCACATGGGAGACCCTAGGGCCGAAGGCCAAAACTTGGAACCAAATGACTCCAGAACAACTGACTTCTGCAGGAATAAATAAAAAGACAATTAACTACTACACAACAGGACACTCCAGGTACCACATAGAGGCCTGTGAGGACCCACCCACCATAGACTGCGACCTTATTGATATCCCTCACGACTGTTTTGAACAAATGAAAATGGAAACTACACACCTACCAACTGTTTATGAAGCTGCATTACTCAACCCGGATCAGACACTATTTGTGGATGGCTCAAGGTTTGCTGACAAACAAGGACAATACCACACTGGATATGCAGTTACCACAGGATGTCAAATATTACAAGCAGCTGCCCTACAACCAACTAAATCTGCCCAAGAGGCCGAGTTAATAGCCTTGACTGTGGCCTGCAAACTGTCCGAAGGCCTACGAGTCAACATTTATACGGACTCAAGATATGCCCTGGGAGTGGCACACGATTTTGGCTTAATCTGGAAGACCAGAGGATTCCTTACAGCTACCGGTACCCCAGTAAAGCATGGGGCAGCCATTGCAGAACTGATGGACGCATTGGAACTCCCAGCAGAAGTGGCAGTATTGAAAGTAAAAGCTCATGGAAGATTAGACACAGAAGAAGCACGTGGCAATAGCCTGGCTGATCAGGCAGCCAAAGAGGCAGCACGACAAGGATGGGAAGTGGACAGAAGAGTGGCCACAGATGCATTACCAATTTATACTATGCAAACATTGCCTACAGACCTCAGGCTGCTGAAGGAACAGCAAGTTGCTGCCACTCCTCAGGAGAAACAGAGTTGGAAGAACAAAGGAGCAATACTCCGTGATGAAGTTTACACTATTAATCTCAAGTTCTGTCTACCTAGAAGTATGTACCCAGCGGTGGTCCAATGGGCCCATGGGCCAGCCCACCTATCAAAGCTCCTGATGAATTCACTGATTGACAAGTATTTTGAAGCACCAGGCATCACTACCTTAACACAGAATTATTGCAAATCTTGTACTATATGTGCTAAGTGCAACCCTGGAAAGATCATAAAGACTGCACCTAATCATCTAGCCAAGCCACAATACCCCTTTCAGAGGATTCAGATTGACCATATTCAGATGCCAAAGAGCGGACGCCATGAATATGCACTGGTCATAGTGGACATGTTTTCAGGATGGCCAGAGGCCTTCCCAGTGACTAACCTCACCGCGAGGACAACAGCCAAGTATCTCTTGACAGAAATTGTTTGCCGTTACGGGGTTCCAGAAGTAATTGAGAGTGACCAAGGAACCTCCTTCACTGCCTCGCTAACACGGGAAGTCTGGTCAGCACTGGGGGTGACCCTTGCATTCCACACTCCATATCACCCACAGAGTAGTGGTAAGGTAGAGCGCATGAACGGCACTCTGAAAGCCAGAATGCTTAAAATGTCACAAGAAACTAACATGCCTTGGCCCGAGAGTCTCCCATTAGCATTGTTTAGTGTAAGGTACACTCCTAGGGGAAAATACAGCCTGTCACCTTATGAAATTTTGTTTGGCACAGCACCTAGGTTAGGTTGTTACTTTCCCCAACAACTTCAGATCCAGTCAGATGCTATGGTAGATTATGTGACAGCCCTCTCACATGCCTTGACCAAGATACATGCACAAGTGTTTTCTTCTATTCCAGATCCTGAGTCGAACACAGGTACACACAAGCTGCTTCCAGGTGACTGGGTTATGGTTAAGAAGTTTCTCAGAAAACACACCCTGGAACCGAGATTTGATGGTCCTTACCAAGTGCTCCTGATTACAGCAACGTCAGTTAAACTAGCTGGGAAGAGTTCTTGGATACACGCTTCACATTGCAAAAAAGTGCCTGCTCCAGAAGAGTCTGATCCTGTTGAAAAATGAATTTATTATGTGTCTTGTGTTTTCTTATGATGCTACATTTTGCATGGGCCCAACAAGTGGCCATAACCAAAGATAACCATGTTTACACTTTTTGGTACAATTCTTCTAATACTGATGTGGCTACATACACCTTTGACTATTGTGACATAGTTACTTGTACATTTCCACAAACACAACATGCAGCTGTATATAAGGACATACCTAACAAAAAGGATCCATACATTTGTGTGACTGGCGAAGGTTGGGGACACCATTGTAGTTCATGGAAAGCTGCCGGGTGGAACACAGGTAGACCATGGGGCTACAGACCCCAAGTTGCATTAGACAAGCTTGACAAAGACGAGAAACCCTTGCTCTCTAGAATGACCCTGAGTAAACCCATAGGGTCAACTCCCATTAAACTCACCTTAAACATAGAACACCCTAGTCCAAGGGATGCAGGGGAGTATGTGATGGGAATGTACTGGAAGGGAGGTGGCTCACACAACGCATTAGGGACCTTTTACTTGCAAGATATGCTAAATTCCTCTGATTGGGTGGGAACCACACATATGGTCATTAACCCATTGAAACCACACATCAAAACCCTACATGACATGGTAGCCATAGCTAACCCCACCTTTGAAGATACCATGGCAGTAGAAACAGGGTTTTCAGATACCAATTTATGGCTAGAATGGATGAGGTACAACGCCAACTCACACAATAAGACTAATTGTTATGTATGCGGAGGTGCCAGACCCCATCTGGGCACAGTACCTCTGAGTTTACCTCCGGAAATAGAATTATGTGTACTGAGTTTGTATGCACAATCCACCACTAACTCCTCAACATGTGAATCCTGGAAGAAGATTTACCCAATCACTCACGGACATGTGAAACCACCCGATGGAGTCACCATTTACCCAGGTAATTACACATGCTATTCAATACCAGAAAACACTGGTTTGTATCTGGGCAAATTCCCATCAGGATACTGCTCAACTTACCATAGTCCACCTGTATCACTGCTAATGAATCACACAAAGACAATCGGTGATATCTATTGGTTATGTGGTGACAAACAATTAAGGCCCCAATTAGCTGGCCAATGGTGGGGGGAGTGTGCCCTAACCAAAGTCATAATGCCTATCCACATCATTCCAGATGGTGACCATAACACGCTTAACCTCACACATATACACTCTAGAACCAAACGAGAGACCCCTATTCGAGGGAGTTTCGACCCCCATGTGTATATTGATGCCATAGGTGTGCCAAGGGGGGTGCCTAACGAATTTAAAGCAAGAGATGAAGTGGCTGCAGGGTTTGAGTCCCTAATCCCAATGATAACTGCTAACAAGAATGTCAATTGGATTAACTATATCTATTATAATCAGCAACGCTTTGTCAACTACACAAGGGATGCCCTACAGGGCCTGGCAGAGCAACTACAAGCCACTACCCAAATGACATTTCAGAACAGAATGGCCCTAGATATGATTCTAGCCGAAAAAGGGGGAGTATGTAAAATCCTCCCTGAGACCATGACATGCTGCACATACATTCCAGACAACACGGGGCCCAATGGTAAAGTGACTATGGCCATAGAAAAGCTAGATAGTCTTGCAGACGAATTAAAGAAGAATTCGGGAGTCACTGACATATGGGACAAATGGTTTGGGTGGATGAATGGCTGGCAAAAGACCCTCTTTCAGGTAGGGACAGCTGTTCTCATGGTATTCATTATCTTTTTGTTCTCAGCCTGTTGTATACTCCCCTGTATACAGAAATATCTGCAAAAAGCGGTAGATAAGACTGTAGATAATGTGACCCCTACCTTCATACATCAGGATATCACAGACCTTGAAGATGACACCCCACATACACCCCTACAAACACATCAGTTTAAACAGACAACTGCTTTTTTGTAGGGATAGAGTAGGGAAAGCGTCTGTCTTGACAGGTGAGTCTCACGTGTGGAGATGTAGTGGGTTAGCCACTGCGGGATACCCGCGGAGTGAAGTGTTCGATGCTTGTCAAGGCAGATAGGTTGCGGGCAACTAGGGACATATTAGGGACAGCAGCAGTTGTAATGGTAAATAGCCATTTTAGGGGGGACTGTTGTGGAAATAAGGTCTACACATATTTCCTAGTTAAAGGAAAATGTCTATTTACTCATTTTACAATATATATATATATATCTCACATATAAAGCTAAGTACACATGTTTCAATCAAGATGGCTGCTAGAAGCTTCTAACCCCTCCTTCCCCTCCCCTCCCTTTTTAAACATCGACTAACTACCTCGTGTAACAAGATGGCGCCGGAAAACCGTGGGAGACCCTCATGGTCCCGGTGACATCACCTGCAGTAGGCAGAGCATTAGAGCAACCACTTAACACCTAACCAATTATTGATGTATTATTCCATGTTATCTCTGACAATGCATATGATGTAATTTTGCTTTAAAAGGGACTTGCCGTCCCCTCTGAATAAACTTTCCTCAAGTTATTCAACAACCTAGAACCTGTGTCTGGTGTGAATTACTTCAGGGAGCGTGCACGCATAGTTTCATTGATTTGGCCAGGGGCAGATACACAAAGAAATAATCAATACTTTAATTGATTTTTCCACTTCACAAAGTGTCCCTATTTAAGAGGGACAGTCCCTATTTTGGACCCAAACCTCTCTGTCTCTCTTTTTCAGTAGCTCCACATTTCTTGTTTGTCTGTGTATATAACAAAGCTCCACAGCAATACTACTCACAATAATGATCCTTCAACGGCAATATATTTGTTTAGAAATTACTCTGTGAAAATAAGATACATTGTTACTGTTCTAAATTACATTTTAATTGCATAAATTGCTATTAGTAAGTTACTTAAAATATTCAAGATATCCCAGCCCGGCCACACTCCCACTCACGTCCCTAAAATTAAAATGGCTGCCTTTGGCCATCAGAAATGTTGGGAGGTATGCAAACTTAACCTTTGCATGAAGCTGTTAGCTCAAAGGGCTAATGTTACATTGCATTGAGAACTCAGACAGGATTATGTGTTAGGGATATCTCTGAGTGGTCCCTGGGACCCTCTGGGGGTTTATTATTGACTTAACACTTCCTTTACAAGGTGAGAGGTTACTTTCAATGTCTGGAGCATGACACAAACTCCCTACCATGGTTTCTCTTTGACAACATGCTAACATTTTATCTTTTCTTTCATGCTGTTTGCCTACTCCTCCACCTCCAAATGCATTAGCAGCTGATAATGCGGCTTTTAAAGAAAGTGGAAGCATAGGCACTAAAATGCTGGGATGACTGGCCTTGACTGATGCATGAGTGACATCTCCATAGAGAGAGTGTGCAGAGAAAGCAGTTGAATACACATTTTTAAATCAGCTTAGCGTGAGAACCTTGGGGAGGAAAAAAAAGAATTTTTTATGTTTTTTCTTCTACAAGGCTATAGAAGGTAGGTGTAATGAAACAAGGTATATTGGAGGAACACCTGGCTCTTTGGTTGACAGAGCTTTAAAACAGAGCTATGCACTTCGGTTTAAACCCCTATTTAGTCAGCTTGACAGATATGTGAGATGTTAGACTGCAGGGAAAGGATCCTGTTACAATAACTATTTCAATAAGCTGAAGTGGCTATGGTGCCTAGAATCCCGCTTTCAGAGATTAAAGCAACCCCTGTAAGGGGGAAATATATGGATCGTCTCTGAGTCTCTTACATTCAATTATGAGGTCAAGGCAGACACCTTGCGCACTAGCCTCCGAATGCTACCCTGTAGGAATCAAGATCTCAGCTAGGGGAGGAGAAATGGCTACGGCAAATTATTTTTTTATTGCATCTGGGGGAGGGTCTCTATAATCGAAATAGCTAGTATAAGGCTAGCGCTAGGAATACATATTTGTATTATTAACACTACAGAGTTCCTGTAACAACAACAACAAATATGCACCCTCGAGGGGTTTTTGATAACATCACAAGTTGAAGGTTACAGACCGCTAAGTGAATTGCTGATGCTAATACAAGATACTTGTGTAATTAACCCATTATGTTCAATAGGGACATAGTGTTTCTGTAAGATATTCAAACTGAATTTTCAGGATTTGCTCACATACGTATTTGTTGTGGTAGCAACTTTACTATGTTATGTTTTAGTTACGAGTTCCTATTTGTACTTTAATTGGTGTAATTGATTAACCCCATAAGGAAACAACTTCAAAAGCTTGTCTTACCTTTAAGGACACAAGCCATTTTTGCTTTTTGCTGTTTGTGTTCAAACGCAATTTGCATCTCTATCATTTATTGCACCAACACATATTATATACTGGTTTTTTTAGAGAGCAAAAAGGGCTTTGATGTCTATATACATAGATAAATTCTTATTAATTATAAAAAAAAATGCCTACCCACCCCATCTAGCAAAATATATAATTTTTAAATATTTAAATTAATTATAAATAAAAGTTAATCCTCAGGGGTTAAAAAAAATCAGATCACAGTATAACACTGTAATCTGTAATTTGATTACTGTAGGCAGTGATCAACTGGCAGAGAAGGGGTTAATTTTTATTAGGACTGGGTAAAGGTGGGTGTGATTTTTTTAAAACCTTTTTTAAACATTTATTTAAAACTTTTTTTTACTTTTTAGAGCTTTTTTAAAAAACATTTTTTAATGTTAACCCCTAGCTAGCCTAATACCAAATTCCCCAATTCCCCACAAACTTCCTCCCACCCCAGTTAGCTAAATATACAATTGAAAAATATTTTAATTAATTAGTAGAAATAAATGTAACCTCTGAGGGTTAAAAAATAATCAGATCACAGTAAAATGTAGTCACTGCCAATTGATCACTGTAGTCAGTGATCATCAATTGGCAGGGAAAGGGTTAATTGTATTAAAGCAGGGGAAAGGGGGTGGGATTTAACTTTAACTTTATTTTTTAACAGGGAGAAGCTCACTGCTGATCCATCTCCCTGCACTTCACACTGACCACAGAAGCACAGGGAGTTGGATCAGGAGTCCCTGCAGCACATGTGCTCCCTGTGCCTGTCAGAGCAATCACAGCTGCAGGAACAGCGTGATTGGGTGCTCTCGGTCTGCATCGAATACCGAGGCAGACAGGAAGAGCGGTAACCCCGCCACTGCCGCAATCTCGGCGATCTGGGGTTAACTTTAGTAAATGACGGAATATTCCTGTCATGCGTCCTTAACGCAAGGACAAACATGACGGAATTTCCATCTAGCGTCGCAAAGGGGTTAATGAAGAATCATTTATTATTGTTGATTTTATGCATCATCAAGTCAGGGGGAGGTATTTGTGGTTTTGTTCTGCTCATGTGCTAACACATGAGCTATTGATCATTAGAAGGAAGAACATTTTTATGTCCTTAGAGGTGTTCAATAGCTAAGTTTTCAAAGGATCATTTAACGTCTATAACTCCCTCTTTTGCGCGATTGCATACTCACCAATACTCAGTAACCCATAAAGAGGGACATTGGTGGGTGGTTAAAGGTTTGTGGGCCAGTGATGTAATTACTACCCTAAGGAGGAGACCCCTGTTTTAGTACTCTCTGCAGGGTCCTAGTGTTCTGAGCATAGTGCGAGCACATCTAATAATGCACTAATTTATGCTTTTTGCGGACAGGTCCCTGGTGTCCCTAAAAGTGGAGCATCAGGGAAATAAGGTAGAAGAAGGCCCTGTAAACAGGATTGTTCCACCGGAATCAGGAATGTTGGGAGACATAGGATTATGAGCACTGAAACTTGAGTGTTTAACATAAACATTGTATGCACCCATCCTACACCCTATCCCCCTCCCAAAGTCGGTAGAATTACTATGCTAAAGAAAAGAGAGAAGTTTGTTAATCAAGGTTGAATCCTATATAATTATTGATTAAGAAAAACTGTTGTTTCCTGCAGTATATAATAAATACATTTTCTAATGAGAAAAAAAAAGAATCTATTTCTGGCTATAGCTTAACAGTTACCTAGAAGTTCACATAATCAGTAAAGAAAGGACAGAAAGAAGCAAATTAGTTCCTAAAAGCATTGTTACAGATTGCAAGTGAAGCACATTAGCAGAGATTAATGAGGGTTTGTCAGGTGAGGAGCAAGAAATCCTTTGGTGGAATAACAGCCTTTCTTAAGACAAAGTGCAGCTCTGTTATCCAAACTATGTTATGGCTTTCTAAAATGCTGCTGTCATTCAGTTCAAGTGGACCTAGGCATGCTTATGTGGCTACGCCTTGCAGTCTCCATGCACCTTTCTTCGTATGTCAGCCAATGCAGATATAGCTAATTAGTGCACCCCATACATAAAACATCTGCGGTCCTCACCGGTGGTGCAATGGAACAGCTGGAACCAATGTTTTCATCCACCAATCCTTGAACCTCTTGGACTTTAGCCCGCACTTGTACAGACACCAGATAAGGTCCAATTAGCAAGGAATGTCGGGTGACTTTTCATCTTCTAGACCTGAGAGTTTTTGTAAAAACACACTTGTTTCCATAACGAATTAATGGTGTGCTGAGTTCAGAGATGCTAACAGGGACCGAATAGGCCTCCAGCCTCAAGACAGATGAGACTGCCATGTAAAACCTTGACCTTTCATATGTCTGTTTGCTTAGGCATGTGCAGAGAACCTCTCCAGTAATTAGAATTCTAATCACAGTGACATTTCTCAGGGCCATAGAGATGCATTCCTTACTTGTGAACTTGCAGTTTTCAGGAGCAAAGATAAATTAGAAGACATTTTTTGTTAGGAATAAATTCATCAAACAAAACATTTTTGTCTTAGTGAGAAATGATTAGTATGTTTGTTTCAGAGGTAATGATGAATAAGCCTTGTTTAATGGTGTTGTATCCCATGACCTAACGTAATAAATATATCTGATCGGACAGTGCAGTATTACAACAAAATGTAGGATCTCAAAACACTCCTTGACAATGGAATAAAATGATGAAATGCATAAATTGCTAAATATTGGCGTGTTATTTGACCTGTTACTTTTGCGTTTAAATTACTAAACTAGGTGACGTCCTATTCTTTGTTTTCTCATCTAGCAATGAGTCTTTGCAATATAACGGACTAAATGTGTTAAGATCAGTGACACAATGAGGAATGAACTGGCAAAATGATCATTATTATTATATATTAAAATTTATATAGCGCTAACATATTCCGCAGTGCTTAGGGTACCTTGTCCCTTGTACCAGAACACCTGGCTAGAACTCCCATCTAGTCCAGTAGAATTCCTTGATGATGTTTACTTTTAACCCATGATTAATACTTATTTCCTTTGTTTAAGCCTAATATAAGAAAATCAGGCATTGTTTAATACTAGGGCAAAGTGAGTATTTTGTAATTCTTTGAATGGCCGAGGGTGAGAATTTCCTCAATCGCCTTCCTCTCCTCTGTGTCTAAAGGGTTAACTGGATCTCCCATGCTGCTCAATCTAGCCCAAACTGAGTCGCGGAAGAAATGCGGACTTCTTGCTACAAATGTCATGATGACAATTAATGGCTGGAATTTGC